GTATGCTCTTAGGCAGGTCATTTACGTAGAGGAGGAAAAGGGTTGAACAGATAAGCGAACCTTGCAGACGCCCGGGTTTAGTGTCTGAGTCTCAGAGGACTGGCTCTTAAAAACTATCCGTTAGGAAGGACTTTATAACTGAGAAAACTCTTCCAGTGACTCCATAGAGTGCTTGAGAAGTGACCCCTTATGCCACTCCTTGCCAAAAGCCTAATATATCTAATGCAACTGCCCTTGAGATGTATTTATTGTCAAGTTCCTCACTAATTTTATGAGTAAGCAGACTTAGGATATCAGCAGTGGACTGGGTGAATTACTTCTATTGAATTACTTCTATTCGCTCCCATTGAGGTGATCAACAACATTCTCGTTGATTATAGGTTCAAAGTGTTTGCTAATGACACTGAGGAGACTAATTAGTCTATACTGTGAGGGGGGTATGAGCGTTCACCCGTTTTCTTGAAAATAGGGCATACACCGGATATATTACACAGACTTGGGAAGGATTTATCCTTCAAGCAGCGGCTAAATAATTTTGTTAGGATGGGTATAATGCCGAGTTAATATTCTTAAGGACAATCACCGGGGTTTTGTCTGGACTGGTGACTACTTAAGGTTAAAAGTTTTGATAAGTTTTTGGATTTGGCAGGCTCTAATAAAAATATTACTCAGATTGTGCTCAGTGAGACGCGTGAAGTCGGGAATGAGATGGCTTTTGTCACCTAACATTGAATTCAAGACGAAGAGCTTTGCCTTGTCCGACGAGGATCAGATAATACCGGGGCCATTTATAATAGTAATGCTTTGTGTCTTCTGTTCGTATTCCCTATTCAGCAATTTACGCGTGTAATTGGAAACTGGTAGCTATTATATCTTTTGATATAGAATAATATCATCATCAGGGTATTGGTTAATATAGAGTAAATTTTATAATGTTTGTGGAGTATTAAAAATATGGGGAAAAAAACGAACCAAATTATAAAAAATTGAAACTAAACCTCAATAAAATTAATTACGAATACTCCACAATCATTTTAAAATGTGTATAATAGATAGTCATTAAATGTTAGCGCTTGTCATTAATAGTTTTTCCTTCGTCTAGTCAAATCCGGAACTTTTTTACAGCATACCTAGTTACCTCCCCTTAAACAGGGTCTGTCATGGCACAACGATCGTGATTCCACGCATAAAATGGTAATCTTCGGATGACCAGCTCAATTTTGTTCTTCACCACCATGAATACTAACACCTATTACCCTATTAAGCAGTATATATATATATATATATATATATATATATATATATATATATATATATATATATATATATATATATATATACATTTAATATATATATATATATTAATACATTTAATATATATATATATATTAATACATTTAATATATATATATATAATACATTTAATATACATACATACATACATACATACATACATACATACATACATACATACATACATACATACATACATACATACATACATACCACCACGGAATATGTGAGCGAGCGGCGCTATATTGAGTTGGAACAGTTGGTATGATGTTTGCTTGACAACCTAACTGTCAGGGTTTCAATTCTCGGTAGTGGATGCGCACTGCTGATGAGTCCCAATTATAGGACGAAACGGCCGTCCAGTGCTTTCTGCATTCGATTCAGGTTTATTTCGGACACGATGAATTACGTATATATGTATATATATAAGTGGATAGTGTGATCAACACCAAGTGGTTACAGACTGTTTCATGGTTGAATGCAATCTACAAGCCTGAATATTTATTCTTACGAGAAACTGATTGTAGCCGGACGGTGTTGATCTCAGTGTCCACTTTATATTTATATACGCTCTATCCATGACTTTTACCCATAAATATAGCGTACATTAAAACTATATTTTTATCACACACACCCACCCACACACACACACATATATATATATATATATATATATATATATATATATACACACATTATTATAGGATATTACATTCGAACATATGAAAACGGCCACATAAATATTTAAAATTAATGTTGTGAACGTTTTAATTTTGATTTGATTCGTTCTCATTTCATTTGGTCATATATATATATATATATATATATATATATATATATATGTGTGTGTGTGTGTGTGTGTGTGTGTGTGTGTGTGTGTGTGTGTGTGTGTGTGTGTGTGTGTGTGTTGCTTTACTGTAATGACTTCCCGTGGTACATTTATGTGTGTGAAATCTTTTCGTAATTTCCTCGTAATTCAACATCAAATCACCTTTTTCGCTTCCTTTTTCTTTATTCCCATTCTGGTAGTGTAATTATCTCTCCAGAAATTTCTCCACTTACTACTGTTTATTTCACTTAATTCAAAAACCAGTTTATTTTCGACTAAAAGATACTTCTCTCTCGACCTTATCAAACCATTGAACTCATATACACAGAACCCTGATCCTCTCAATTCCCACGTTACTGTCTGATTTCTCTTTCTCCCGTTCACTGTCTTCCTTTCCCTTTCTTTCTACCTGCCAATCACTTTCTCTCTCCTGAGGCACTTCGCTCAAATATTGGACTATCGATTCAAAGATTCGCGTCCCAGACTACCGGTGCGCAGTTTACGAGAAGATAGGTATTTGGGATATCTTGTCTATGTAGGCCATCAGGTTACCTTGGCATACTCTAGCAGAGCGAACGCTAAATCGAGAGCGCATGCGTGAGAACGCAGCAGAGGAAGAAAATGAAAGTAGGCGGATCGTGCAAGTAGAGGTTGATAAAGATTGAGGTCCGGTGTCGATGAGCTGTCGGCAGGGGTATGTCAAGTCTAGGGTTGGGGTTCGGTGCATACGTCATTCTTATTTCTAAGACTCATTCTGCCTTGTCCCGCCCCGACATGAATCGGATGAGCGGCCTCGTTTTGGTTGTTGCATAAAGTAAAAATAGATATGTTAATGAAATACCAGTTGAAAGGAGACAATATATAAATGGTACAAATAATCCATTGCGAAAATAACCTTAACAGATAGATATTAATGGAATAAAACTAGTGGAAAAGGACATATGAAAACGAAACTCATGAGAGAGTAATATAAGCACTATATTAAAAATAAACGTAAATGTTCTGAATCAAAATATACATATATAAATATTTTAAAATATTCATTCTTCATCAACACTAATGAAAGGTTCTCAAAAATGGCCGCTTATTGTTTCGAATAAGCAGCAATGAGCTTACTTGCAAACGATATAGTTTCTGGTTTTCTCTTAACTTATGAGCTTAAAGATCCAGACTTTCATCTCTTTTGTCGCAACCAAATATTGAGACTCTGAAGAAACTGCAACGCTTACTACATGTAGAATTAGTTTTCCTATGATAAATGTATATGGTGATCATAAAAAAATCTTCTCAAATTCGATTTACATTTTAGGCCAGATATAAGTAATGTGATTCTACGTTGGAACGACAGAATGGAATTACCAGGTTCTATAACTTTGAATGTGCAGCGGATATAATCGATGACAGCTCGAAATTGGAAATCAGAAAGCCAAGTTCTAATTTAAGTCATGTTCTTTATATTCACTTACGCCCAAACGAATCCACTTCTTCTCCCCAAGCTATGGATTAATTAGTAGGACTTATATCTGTAAAATCAATAGTATCTCCTACAAATTCTTAAAATTAAAAAAAAAAAAATTCTGGATTTAACTAACCTACAAAAGCCGTAAGAGAATCAATTAATTTATGTTGGCTCGTTCGGTACACTATTATTGTATATCTCCTATATTGAATGCCAACCAAGGCTTTATAGCCCAATCTGTTCTAAAAGTATTTAGTGCAAAAATGAGTTAAACTAGAATTTAAACAGGACAAGCCAATCTGAATTTCCGCGCCGATAACCTGCACACATCCATTACATAGGCACACGAACACAGAAACACACACATATAGCTGAATTATAGTAAATGCTTATATATACAGATCATAGGGTTAATTTGGTTCGGTTTGTTTATTTAAAGGCATATCAACTCCTTATGGGTCATTTAATGCCGAAATTGTATTTTCCTGGTATTTATTTTCCAAAAAACATATTGCAGTTATTTTTTTTAATTTGTTTAATGGTAATATTTTTGTTTTATTTTATACTTTGAAAATGTATCGATGATAATGTTTTTCTGATGTATGTTTATGTTTTCATATTTTGACCCCAGTTTAAGGGTTTACTATTTGCCCATAACTGAAAACCTAAAAGGTGCTACCACCCTGGGTCAGGGTGAACCCGGGAACAACAGCAATTAATCGGTGGTTCCACGCACCTCAAAACCTCCCGATCAGTGTCCTTTTTGCCGGAGATAGTTTATCGTCATACCACGGAAATATATATCGTACACAGATTGCAAATGAAGCATTGCGTCCACAGTACAGTAAACAAACCTCATACTAATTGTTGTAACGTAGGAAATGTTACTGAATGAGAAATAATCAAAACGGAGGTTGGAAATGAAATGGTAATCTTTATATTATCAACAAAATACAAAACTCGCCAGCGGCGTTATGTAGGTAAACCACAGCTAGTGGTAGACTATTTAGACAGTCATATTTTAACATGCGTGGGTCTCAGTGGCATGCTTTCATTATAATATTTCAAAACACTGCAATGGTATCTGACACTGTCTCAAGCTGAGACACAGAATCTACACTCGTCTGACCGAGGTTATATGATAAGATGGTCAAAAACTTTGACAATGTTATCAAATTATTTAATACCTTATATCATGCGCATGCTATCCACAAGTTAAATTGGCGGAATCGGAGTTAAAATTGTATTTTTCATTGGTATAGATATATGTTTAAATTATATCTGGACAACAATTTTTTATCAATCTTAGCAATTTAACTTCTTTTGTGATCTATCAATCAGTTGATATATATCTGATTTTAATTATTTAATTTGTTCTTGTTTAGGCTTGTATATATCGTAAACATATTTTATCTGCTGTCATGGCTGTTGCTGCAGATAGGGAATATAGACGATTGAACAGAGAGTGCAACTGTTTGAAAATAAATAAGAAATAGCGATCGAGGTGGAATCAGCGATGGCACAGAGCCACTGGATCACGCACAGACGCCTACGGTATGGCCTTGGTGCGTATCGATCATTTGCTCGGATAAAGAAAAACGCTGCTTCAGCGAGCAGATGAGGCAAACGCGGAATTGAGTCTGGGATCAACGGTCATCTCATGAAGTGCCGACACTGGGATTTGGAGGTTACCTGCAATAGATTGTACGGAAAAGACGAGGAGAGAAAATAGGCGTCAAGGAGGAAGAGAAAGTAACAGGATATTGAGAGGTTGGCATTACGCCAGTGGCCATGTAATGAACAATAGATAGATAGATAGATAGATAGATAGATAGATAGATAGATAGATAGATAGATAGATAGATTTCGATGAGGATGGGTTTATAGATATAAACGATCAAATCACAAGATACTGCAAATTTTACAAGAACACGAATGGAGACATCAAAATCTAGCAAGTACAGAAATTTGAAGGATTTTAACAAACGACAGAAACTGTTATAGAAATTCGAATGTGCATTGGAATAGAAAAAATGTCTTCCAAAACCTAAACAAAGTATTAAGAAGCAAGAACATTTTGATAGAAACAAAGAAGAGAGTGCTGAACAGCTATGTAATATCAATACTCCTAGATGACAAAAAATACTGAAAAATTTTCTACAAATGTAGAGACATGAGACAACAGAGATATGCTTCTACTACAGAAGGATGTTGACAATACCAGGGACGACCATCGAGCTAGTTAAGAAATGGGAATAAAAATAAGAGTTGTATTTTGAATCACAAAGAGACTGTTGAAATATCTGGGATACGTAACGACTTGTAGAATTTCACGCCCATGATATATTGAAGGCAATAAGGAGAAAGAGAAACAGAAAATAACCTACCCACGGACAGTAGAATAAGAAATGGTATGGCTATTAAGTGAAGAAGAAGAATGTTGAATTAGACGTTCAGGTATCAATCATGTCATTATTAAGATCTTTCTGGATTCAAATGCGCATTTGAAATGATAAAGATACTATCAAACATCTCAGCAACTAAATATACTCTCAACTGTCTCAACACTTAAAAATAAGACATCTACGGTCTCAGTATCTCGTTTAATGATAAATCCCAAACGAACTCGGTAACAAGAATAAATTCTCGTCTATCTCAACAACTAAAGATAGAAGCTCCATCGACTCAACAACTAACTTTAGACGCTCAGCCATCTGTAAAACTAAAACTAAAACTTCAACTGAATCAGAAAGTAAAGATAAGCCTTCAACGATCTCAAATACTAACGATAAACTCTCAACTACTTCTGCAATATAATCATCTCAATAATTAATATTGAACTAATAAGGAATTGCCTATTTTTCACAATTATAAGAGACTACTGAATATGGTAGAGAATTTTGAAAGTATAATTAGTTTACATACGAAATCAAGACTTGTCCATATTTGTGAGATGAAGCATTGTAACTATTTACATTGTTCGGGATGTTGTCCTCGTGTTTATTGTCTCATTCACGACGTTTCGGTCGTTGTATGCTACGGCCTTCTTCAGGTGATATACGTTGGAATTTTGAACGAAATCTTTATTTCACACCCGTAAGTAAATTGCCCTAGTTGCATATCCTATACTTTTTAGTTTCAGTTATTTCCCTTTAGTAACTTAACTCTCCAAGTTTTTGTTCACCTCTGCTATGGCCAGGGATTGAACTCACAACCGTTTACGTCAAGTCACTGGATTACTTCAACCAACGCTTTTATCCACTGGGCCATGGACGAAATAAAGGGTTTACTGCGAAATTCCAACGTATATCACTTGAAGAAGGCCGGAGCGTACAACTTCCGAAACCTCGTTAATATGACAATGAAGATGAGGACGACAATCCGAACAATGTATATTGTGTAAATATAAATCAATAGTTTAGAAAGATTTAAATGCAACAAATCACCGGGAGTAAACACAGTATCTCAACCATTGCTGTTGACCAAATCATAGATATTTATACCAAAAATTAATTCAGATTTTACAAGCACGTGAAGAAACGTTGATTTGATGGAGATCATTTTCTTTCGTTTGCTTTGTTCTTGCCTTATGAGTTGTAAAAAGACAGTGCTGCACTAATTTTCAAATTGTTTACTTTAACAATCACTATTAGATACATTTACTCTTATATTTATGCTGGTTTGAACATTGACAGGAGGGGCTGCACGTAAACATCTAAGAATCCCAGCCATCAAAATGATTCCAAGATCAATAGATAGTCAAAAGACTGAAATAAATTGAAAGTGAACAAGACATTGACGAATTGAAAGAGGAAATACCATGATGTAAAAGGAAAGAAAAAAAGCAAATTTAAACCTTCATTTCTGCCAGTTACTTACTTTTCTTTCTCATTTTCAGTACATTTTGTGAATAAAATCATAATATTACATAATAAGTATGTTTAGTGATTGCTGCATTTTGATAGTCAAATAAATAGTAATGCATTTATACTGCCTGCCTAGTAGCACAATCATTCAAAACTGTCTACAACATTTATTAATATTTTAAATGCATTCCTATTAAAAGAAAATAGAAAAATCATTCGAATTATAATATATAATGGCAAAATAAGTGTGAGCATATTAAAGTATAGTATGATAATTCTTTAAATAAATTTGACATTATTTTCTAACCAGTGGCAATCTATTCATCAGTGATTTGAAATAAGTTAAATTAGTAAGATGTTTTATTATCTTATTGACAAATCATAGATAATAGTACACATAAATCTCTCTGTAAATTTGACCGAATATCTAATATTGTCAATTGTTGAGTAGTATTTCTTTAATTTTAATTCTGTTGCTTTTTATTGGACGCTTGGTTGCATGTATATATATATATATATATATATATTAGGAACAAATAATTTAGCTGAGCCAGGATATTCTTAGCGAATTCTCAAGTTTAAACCATATTTCTTGCTTAATGCCTGCAAATGTGCAACTTTAAAAATCTTTGATTCTGTTTACAGTTTGCTAGTCATTCCTCTCTAAAAAATATATTTTATATGGATAAAAAATTTTTTCTCTATGCTTAAAATAAGCATGGAGAAAATCTTTTCATTTTGAGACTATTCTGAACCTTATTAGTGTCATTCTAATAAAAAAAAATTCTATATCTTCTTGAAGCGTAACTGACATAAAATGTAATCATTATTTTTTCTTAGAACATGTGTCAATCTATATGTAATGGTTAATGATTTAAAGTTTTGATATACTTGTTTACTGAATTCTACATATGACATTGTATCACAAAATGTATAACCGATAGAAATGGACAAATAGAATTTGAATTTTTCAAACCAATTTTTAGGTGGATGAAATCAGAAAAACGTTGCGTTGTAAGAAACATAAATCGATTTAGTATTCTTCCACTCATTTTGCCATTGTTCTGAGATAACTTCAATTAAGTTGATCCCGGTCAGCCGTTCTGACTGCATCGGGTCTCATGTTCTGACTCAGATTGATATCAGTGTTCATTCTTATGATTGATTTTTGGAATCATGTCTGATTGAATGCGTTTCATAAAATGCTGTATCAAAACCAGAACAAGCCTTTGACCAAAAATCATTTGGCCTTAATCCTTAAGCATATTTAAAAAAAAAAAAAAAAGTGTCGACTACCTTTTTTATGCTTCATTCAAGTATTCTTCAGGTACTGTGAGCTTTTATCTAATGATTTTATCCTCATTGTTTTCCCAACAAAGATCTGAATCAATTGTACTTTCATCACTTACTACTGTACCCACATTTTTCAATGGCTTCCCCAAAAGAAAATGTTTCTTTTCCTCTAGACATATTGGCTACTATTTCTATTTTGTTTCTTGATAGTAATCCCATCCACCCAAAAACGTGATTAAATAAAATAAATTTTGTTTTTGTTTACGTGTTTGCATTACAAAATGTTCTGATTATAAAAACAGGCACAGAATCACAACATAGTGACACGCGTTTGTTTACATATATAAATATATATATATGTGTGTGTGTGTGTGTCTGTGTGTGCGTGTATGTATGCGTGTGTGTGTCTGTGTGTGCGTGTATATATGCGTGTGTGTGTGTGTGTGTGTGCGCGCGCGCGCAACGTGATGAATTTTTGATGGCACGCAGGTTCACTGAGTACGTTGCTTAATTTCATCTCTCTTCATGTACGTAGTTATTTTTCTTAATTTTTTTAATGTTTTGACGACCTACTTTGTGGCCATTTTTTCACATTCTGTTTGGTAAACTCCTATTTTTGGTGTAATGTTAGATTTCCGATTTACATTGATTACTATTTTTAAAAAAAGCTCTGATAATTCTTATGCGATTATCTAAATTTCTTGTTTTCTTTTTGTTTTCTTTTTTGTTGTTGCTTATACTTCCTTCTGTTAGTTTGGTGGTTTTTGTAAGCTTTTCCTTTGCCATTGAAATAACGAGAGTAATAGAATATTTTAAGTATATTTTCAATGTATGCTATTCTTCCTCAGTTAGGTATTTGAAGCTACAAATTCGGAAGTCGCTTACATAAGAATCTATTATTAGACTAGATTTTATGTTATTGGTGAGATGTGATGGAAATTGTTTATGATGTCATTTTAATTTCTTGATTTATGGTAATCGTTTAAGTTTCGTCCGGCATCAGTTCGAATTAACGGAATATCAAGAAAAGACAAGGTGTTATTTGTTTAGTTTCCATATGAGAATTCCTTTGTATGTTGGATTTTGTTTAGATCATTGTATTCTAATCGGGTAGTTTTGTGCGGATAGAATAGGGTGTCATCTATAATGCAAAATTATTTTGTGGGTACGATACTTTCAAAGAATTCTACAAAGAGGCAGACTAAAACACTGCTGACAGGAGAACCCATAGGCCAAATTTTGTTTGTCAAATCAATTATTGAATAAGAAAACATAGTTTGTACAAATTCAATATTTTTTATGATTTGCTGATCGGTAGAAATAGATTGGTTTTAATTTTGTGGACAAGTATTTTCAGAAAATTGAAACATTGGTCAACTTGTATATCAGTAGAAAAGAACTTAATCTCTAAACCAACACTGGCAATAAAAATAATAAATTTATTGGTTGCATTTAACGAAACGTGTTTGAATCAATACTTCCTGCATATTCCATCACCGCCATTCGGACCCAGAACCCTCATCAGTTGCTATGAGCGGATGTTCCCTTGTTGAATTTCCGTACGTTGGACGCCTATTCGCTTTAACTCAATACAGACCGTATGGAAAAAAGAAGCATCATTAAAAATGGCCAGTTCCCTTTACCGCTCCAGTTAGTAGCTAACAATTTCTATTCCCTACCTTGAAAAGAACTTGATCAAGCTGAAAATGTAGTTTTGAAAATTCGGTCTAGCTATCTCGGACATTCATGAATCTGTCACACCAGCCATCAGGGTCCTTCGTCAATGTCAAACGGTCATTAGGGTGGCATTCTGTGTCATAACATAGCAGGTCAATGTAGGTGGTCTCTAGGCGGTCAACACGTCTTGCTCCATGGCTGGAGTAGTAGATCACTCGCAAGTTCTTCTTTTGTTCATCAGTAATGTACGGCAAAGCGCATTCTGCGTAAGATTGTAGAAATATATTGGATAAGTTCATAGAGCTGTGATTTAGTTGGATGTTGTCTCCAAGTGATGTTATGTATTGCTGTCAGCATCCGAGTGTAGATTTAAAGAAAGCTTACTAAAACCTTAAAGTATAAGATGGATGAAAAAAAAAGTGTAACTGTTGCAATATATGGGCAGGAGCTACCCACTCTTCACTTTCCAGTCACAATAGAGTCCAAAAGCGCCCCCCTCCTTCCTTGACGGTGACAAATTATTATCCACCCTGCAAACCCTCTTGCTGCTCTATCGCTATTTCCATGCAAGGGGATCAGGCGAACTACATTCCTTAATTCCACAATTTCTACCCTTCACAACTAAGACTCGTCATGCCACGCACATTGTAGTGAACTAGCTTCATTCCTTCCGGATTCTATTGCTAAGATGTAAGTTCCACACGAATGGCTTTCTCCCCAGGAACCTCTGGTCTGTGGAACCGACTTTCAAGAGGATACTTCCCCGATCATTACAATCTTAACCTGTTCTTAAATCTCGGGAACTGTAATCTTCCATACATATCTGCATAACTATTGCATCTTGC